TCGAAAGGATTCGTCCTCGAATCCGTTAATTTGCTTGTCCTCCGGGATCAAACACAACTTGTACAAATTTAGATTTGCTTCTTTCTTCCTTATGCATTGAGGTAGCCTTCATGTATTCTCCAATGACATCATGGCTTCTCACTCTAGGATTAGAGAAAAGAATTTCATCTATGCCAAAGGTGTTTCTTTTAAAATGCCCAATAAAATTTTCCTCCACAAACGTATGAAAACCAACCTCAATATGCTTATGATTTTTATTGGAATTTTTACCCAAACAAAAATCATAACATAAAATAATTTTTGTAGATGGCAAACCTTGAGACTCCATGTATTTGCATTCATTGTGTTTATGGACGTGCCTTCCAAAAATGGGTTGAGTAAAAAGTGAAGAATGAGGAATAATATCAATGATTTTCTTCTTCAAATTGACTAACTTGTTGGATGTGGATTGCTTGCCAAATTCCTCCTCAACTCCCTCTAAAATAAATTCAACCAAAGAAGAAGAATCATCATTAGAGTTTACAACCTCCCCACTCTCTCTTCTCTCTAATTCTTTTTCTCTTTTCTCTTGGATGATTTTCTCTCTCAATTTTCTTTGATCCCCACACACTTGTTGTGGACTCAAAGGCTTGAGTACATACTTTTGTTTTTGATGGATGAATGAGATTTTGTTGGTGTAGCCATCATGATTGGTTCTCTTGTCAAATTGCCATGGCCTTCCCAACAACAAGTGACTAGAGTCCATTGGAACAACATCACAAAGTACCTTATCTTGGTACTTTCCAATGGAAAACTCCACCTCCACCTGTTTTGACACAAGTACCTCTCCATCCTCGCTAAACCATTGAAGGTTGTATGGCTTAGGATGTGGCTTTGTAACTAAATTCAATTTAGTCACAAGTCTTTCACTAGCCACATTTGTACGACTCCCGCCATTAACAACTAGAATGCACAAATTATCATTTACTAGACATCTTGTATGAAAGATGTTTCCCCTTTGGCATTCTTCAAGAGTACTCACTTGACTATCAAGAGACTTCCGCAACAACATCAACAAATCCATTTAACAATGAATTTGTTTTTGTACATTTTTTTTTTCTTCTTTTTTTTCACAAAGAAAGAACAATAAAACAAGAAAACACACTAGAGACTATCAAAACCCCAAAAGAACCTGAGCTCTGATACCAACTGATGTGAACCCTAGGCGTTAAGGGCATGTGCCCTACACGTTAAGGGTTGCCCTTAAAATTAAGAGTGTGTTTAGGGATCTTTTTTGGGGTTTATAGGAGGTTAAGAAAGGCAAAAATAAGGATGGAAATATGGAAGGATCAACGTTGGATTGGTATGGGCAGAATTTTAGGGTTT